CAAAGGGGGCACGAGAGCCCCGAAGGACTTTCCGAGCTGGTGGCCTTGGCCGAGCAGCTTCTCAGGCAACCAGAGCCACAACAGCTGGCACTTCTGGTGCAGCAGCTGCAGGCCTTTGCTGCGGCAGAACTGAGACGTGGTGCCGCCCTGTCCGGCCCGACAGCCCGAGCCTTCGCTGAAGTAGCCACAGGTGCAGGCGATGCGCTGCGCGGGGGTGCTGAGAAGCAGCTGCGCTGGGCAGCCGGAGCTGCCGCATCCTTGCTGTTGACTTATAGCATTAGCCTGCAGCCTGCTATGGCGGCGGATGTCGTGAACTACTCGGACTTCATGGATTCCGTCAACCGCGGTGAGGTCGAGATGGTCCGCGTTCAGGATGATCAGCTGTCTGCACAGTACACCACCAAGGATGGCGCTCGCCATGAGGTGAACTTGATTCCCAATGCTCAGGTCGAAGACCAATTGTTTAATACGCTCGCGCAAAAGAAGGTGGATGTCGTCATGCAAACCCCTGGGACCAACAGTGGTGGACCGTTGGACTTCCTCGCTCGCTTTGCCGGCCCCATTGCATGGCTCATCGCCGGTCTGCTCGTCCTGTTCGGAGGTGCGGGGATGGGAGGGCCTGCCGGACCCGGGGGGCCAGGCGGCAACCCTTTCGAGCTGGGAAAGTCGAAGGCTCGCATCATCAAGGATGGGGACACGAAGGTCAAATTCGCAGATGTGGCTGGATGCGACGGTGCCAAGTTGGAGTTGGTGGAGGTCGCTCAGTCATAATGCAATGGTTCAATCCTGGGCGGAGTGGGCTGAATGCTCGCGGGATGGGTTGCGGCAACGCGATATTTGCTTCTTCAGGAAAGTAGCGTAAGTTTTTTGCAGCGGAAGGCAGGCTTCAGGCAGTCCACGCAAGCCCAGGTCGTCGACTTCCTGAAGCACACCTCGCGCTACTCGGATCTCGGCGCCAAGATCCCCAAGGGCGCCCTCCTCGTTGGCCCACCGGGTACAGGCAAGACGCTACTGGCCAAGGCCGTCGCCGGTGAAGCTGGTGTGCCCTTCTTCAGCATCTCTGCCTCGGAGTTCGTGGAGATCTTCGCAGGCATTGGCGCCTCGCGGGTGCGCGACCTCTTCGAGCAGGCCAAGAAGTCCGCCCCGTGCATCATCTTCATCGATGAGATCGATGCGGTCGGCCGTCAGCGCAGCGCAGGCTTTGGACAGGGCAACGACGAACGGGAGCAGACGGTGAATCAGCTTTTGACCGAGATGGATGGCTTCGAGGCGAACAAGGGTGTCGTGGTGATCGCGGCCACGAACAGGGCAGACATCCTTGATCAAGCCTTGGTGCGTCCCGGGCGCTTCGATCGCCAGATCCAGGTGGACCCACCTGACGTGCAGGGCCGCTCCGAAATCTTGAAGGTCCATGCCAAGGGTAAGAATCTGGCGCCCGGCGTCGACCTTACTGCCATTGCCAGACAGACGCCCGGCATGTCCGGCGCGGACCTTGCCAACTTGTTGAACGAGGGCGCCATCACGGCGGCACGCCAGAACAAGGCGGAGAT